ACCAAGAATAATTTAATTTGATAAAGTCTCCTCCACGCCACCAGATGATATTGATTTTACCACTTCTATGAGCTAGATCAGCACTCAAGTCTAGACGAATCTGAAATGATGATGTCAGATAACTTTCTACCACTTTGAGTTATTTTCCAATTTCATACTCAATTTGTCAAGAATATCGATCTGATATCTCACAACTTCACTCCTTTTTTGTGGTGAATAGTTACCATCAGTTTTTGTGGGGAACTCAATTGCTTTCTAACAAGATCGCAAACTATAGGTGTTAGTACCCAACAATTTTAATACTAAATAAGCCAACTCAACTTTATTACTTCTATCATGCATTCGAACTTTACTTGAAATAATTTTTCCGGTTCATCACCTATCCTTCAATTAATATAATTCCTCAATATTAATTAATACCATCATAAAAATTCTATATATTTAATTGGACTAATATTTTAAATATGTTACAATAGAAAATTATGATTGAGTTAAATTAAATTTGTCTTATCTAAAGTTAATGAGTAATACTTTTAAGTCCTTATTTAGTATCAAACGAACACCTCAAAGCTCTAACCGGGTTCAAAGTATTCTCAACCAATGAAAATTTCTTCAAACTTAACTCGACATCAATCAAAAAACTTCTTTTGTAGACTTTCTTGTATCTCAGTAGTGTAACTTGTACAAAAGATAACGAACCTTCTAACTCTTAATTGTAACTATTAGTTGATCTCACCTTCTTAATTCTCACTAGTGTGCTATCTTTATCAAGATTGATAATTCTCCTACCATTACTTGAAACTTCTTTAAATGAATTGAATTCATATGTATCAACAAAATTATAAACTAGGTTAGCGAAAAACTCAACTAGAGTATTTTTCTCCATTAAAACTCTATAATCATGAAGAATTATAATTTCTATAATATTAATAATAAGTTGTCTCAGTTAAAATCGTATATATATTTTAACCATTCGTATACTGACCCCGAGCTATATTTTGAAGTGTTTTTCAAGATTTGAGTAAACAAGTATAAATTATGTATGTTTTCGTAGAGCTGTCAAAATGGACTTGACCCACGAGGCCGGCCCAACCCAACCCATAAATTAAGTGGGGTTGGGCCTAATTATTTGCCCATTTAGGAATGAGGCTTTTTAGCCCAGCCTCACTTGGCCGCTAGCCTCGTAGGCCCAATCCTCGTAGGCTTGCGGGTCGGAAAATCAAACACAAGTCAATGAAAAATCAAGATTATACTTGTAATCACACTGGTAGAAATCTCAACTTTGGCCTCACTGGAAAATATAACACTTGTTCCTCTTGACCACCTCTAATTTGAGTAGTGCCCCGACCTCCGCCCTGCTGAGTTGTAACACCCTGACTAGAATCCATTGCCGCTACCAGACTGATCTCTGAATCTCTAGCTAGAGTAGCTAAATATGTATGATGGGGTCCTAAGTGAGTTTTTAATGACATTGTTGAATCATATGACCAGGATCTCTATATCCAAAATAATACCTCAATGTGGATGACTACTGCAGCAGACCATATGAGCTACCATGAGCACCTCAGCTAGAACCATAGGACCTTCGGAACGTCTGCCCACTCTTAAGGTCCCTAAAATTCTCTCTAACCATCAACTCTACCTCCTTGTAGTTACTCATGATAAACTCAAGGGGAGCCCCTTTTCTAACTACTCTTAACATATAAGACATGATGGTGAAATTTAACCCTCTCACAAACATGTGGTCTCTCCCTGCCTCATTCACAAAAATAGTTATATCATGTCTTCATCTCTCACAAAATTGGGCTTCATATTCTATGACAGACAAACAACTCTTTCTTAAGTCCTCAAATATCAAACAGATTTCCTCCCTTACGCCCCTAAGGAGTGAAACAGTGCTGAAAAGGCACTAGATAACACATCCCACTCTATCAGAGGAGATACAAATGGTCTAGACATTATATAAGTAATCCACAACTTCCTAGTAGGTCCATCCACAGAGCTAAGGTGAAATAAATATACATCACGTGCATCAACTATATCCACTGCCTCTAGAATCTATTGGCACAAAGATAAGAACTCATTAGCATCCTGGCTCTTACCTCCCTGGGTTATTTCATCTTCTGTAACCTCTTATAAACACCATGGATCATTTACTGTCAGAATTACCTCAGGAGAAATCTTTGCACCAACAATTTTGTGCAGTAAGCACTAGTAGCTGACCCATCTGATGATAAATAATCAGACCCTACTAATGGTGCGAGGTCTGCGCCCCAACTCTCATATGAGAAACTTGTGGTGTACTTGTCACACCACTTCAGAGAAGTTCTAAAACACACCCAAAATCCTTAAAAAGGTATCTTGGAAAAAATAGTTGTAAACTCAAGAGAAACCTGATCCTTTGCAGCTTAGTATGACCTTTCTAGCTCAGCCTCTAGCTAATACCGCTTAATAAGCATGTCCTCTAGCGATGCTACTCCATGAGCACGACCTCTAGCTCAGTCCTTACCCGTACGATTTGATGAGGTCTCAACAACCACCTAGGGGACAACCTTCACTCTTCTAATGGAAATAAAAGCTTGGTTCGTCGATATTTGCAACAATAACATGCGGAAACTAATCACTAACGAAGGTAATGATGCATAATAAGAAAGATTTAATTAAAGGATGTTTCCCAAGAATCTTCCTAGGTTCTCAAATATAAGTACATACGTCTTTATACAATTCCTCAAGACCTTACTTACACTTGGATTGTACACACGTGAAACCAATGTACCTAGGACTATGATACCTTTTGTCACAATCCAAAAGAAGATCTAATGGCACTCGTTTATCCCACCAAGATAATTTAGCCTTTAACCCAACAATACAAAAAAAAACGGAAAGTAAAATATAATATAAATATAGAAAAAAACTTAGTATTCTAAAGTAACCCCAAAACTTTGTTGTCGTGTATAAAAACCACTAGGATAATATTACATAATTTGAAAGATAATACAAGTCTAAATTCCCTTGTTTCTCGAATAAAACAAAACATAAAGTAGGGAATGAGAGGGGCCACCGGGATGACAAGAAAATACCTCTCAATGTATCCCATAAAGCCTTAGAAATATATGAAGACGAAAGATCACATGAGTCAAAGCTCGGGACCTACACAAGTGTAGAAGCAGGGAGTCAGTATCAAACAACACGGTACTCAACAATTAACCTACTAAACAAGGTAAAACCAAGCTGGAATACGAGTAATATTTTTATCCCAACAAAATCGCCTCAACTACAACATGTAAAGAAACCAGTACACAACTCACAAGGCTTACCACGTACAATCCAAATGTCATAATTCGACATCTAACAAGTATCAAATATGTCATTCATAATTATCAAGTAGATCAATCACAAGTGTTACAGATAAAAATCACAAGTATCAGAATCATCAAGCACAATAATCATGTACACTAAATACAAATATCAAGATTATCATGCACAATAACAATCTGGACTAAAGAAAAGCAACCATAGTCCATGAACTCACCGGTGCTGACCTTGAGCTCAATAACAATCTTCGGTAATAATTTCGGTATCAATAATACTCATTTTAAAATGACCTCAATATCAATAACACTTATTGGGAATGACCTTGACATCAATAACACCCGTAATAACATCCATATCAATATCACTATCCAAAATCAATTCCTTTAAAATAATTACCACATATCTCATCATTGTGCATAGAATTCAATACAAATAAACTATTTCAAACCATAAGGAAGAGAAAATAAATAGAAGCATATTCTATGCCATAAAAGCATTTCGTCCATCATCGAATTAGGATCCACAATAAGGCAATTCACGTAGCATAAATATTAATATGCTTATTTTTCATTAATCCTTTTTTATTCATTATGATCAATCAAGTGTAATAGTTGAACCCATAATCTCATTCCTATTATTCCCCAACACACATAATGAAGGGAAATACAAGATTCTACAAGTTTTACTATGTTTAAAGATCACTAGTCTCAATTCAATCAAAAGACAATCCAGGAAATGCGGATTCCCTTTTCGAACAATATCAAAAGTCACATAATCTAATTCAATCAAGTAATCACAATAAGATTTTGGAAATAACAACAATAAATAATTTATTTTGAAAAATGGGTCAAATCAACTCAAAAACCCAATCCAGAAAATGAGCTTTGAATCCAAAAGTTTATACTTTAAAACGTTAACTAGGGCATTTGGAACTCATTGAGGAAAACCATTTCAAAAAAGGAATTCAAATTAGTTCATAATCACCATTTTACATTATAACTCAAGTTCTTTAAATACCTTGTCATCTGTCAATCAAAATCCCAAGTTATAATGTTGAAATCCATAATGATAGTAAGGTAATTAAAGTTTTAGGATCACAAAGAATTACCCAAGTAATTTGGCACAAGAAATCTCTTTGAATTCGCCTTCAAGGGTTTTTCAAAATTCAAAATGGGAAAACATGGTAAACCCCCAAAATTGCAGGCCAAAACCCTCTCTAATGTCACTTAAGCCAACCCAAGTTCGCTTATGCGAACCCTTAAAAATGATCAGCCTTCACTTTCTTGACTCACCTTCACTAATGAAAAATTCACAATCTTGTTAAGGCCCCTGCTTTGATGAAGGTATGAACACTTAACCCTTCCCCAAAGTGAACTGATCTTCGTTAACACGACCCTCATAAAAGTGAAGATCCTTTGTGACCGCAAGGTCAGTATCTACTAGAAGACACAATCAACTCTCAAATCATCAAATGGAACTTCAGAATTCATTGGGGACCCTATATACAAAAACCAAATAAGGAAGTTGACTATACTCAACGTTATGGGCTCAATGAAACCATCAAAATATGAATCTTAAGTTTTTTTTATTCGAGATTTGTGAAAGTCACAAGAAAGGAAAGTAACATCCATAAAGTCTAAATCAAGCACGAAACCTTTAAAAATTCAAATATGACCTCACCTAGG